TTTGAAAAGAAAGCTCAGTCATCATTAGGAAATGCTAGAACTGCTTAAAACTCTCAAAGCTTTGAGCCAAAACTCATAGAAGAACTGTGTGTGTCAGTAAAAAATGATGAGATGAGCTAAAATTTACCATTAATTTCTAACACTTTCCTAAATGGCACTCTGATTATACATAAGAACTGAGTAAAGTAGCCAGATCCCTGCTTCCTGTTGCATAAAAACTACTGTAACTAAGAAAAAGCAATGGGTGATAGGGTTGGGTGATTCTCTTCTGAGGGATAAGCATTTGTTGCCCTGACCCGCTACCTAGAGGAGTCTGCTGCTTGCCAAGAGCCCACATCAAGGAGATAACAGAGGCTGCCAGACCTTGTATGTTCTACAGACTACTACCCACTGCTGATGTTTCATGTAGGCACTAGTAACACAGCTGTCAGCAACCTGAAGAACATCAAGAGGGTCTACAAGGAGCTGTAACCTGGAGTCCTCCAGGTTAGGGGAGGGAGAGTGTGAGAATCAAGTGTTGTTTCTGCATTAGAATTGTATAATATTATTTTTATTTTATGATCTCCACTCTCATAGTTCTTTTTGGGAGTCCCTCTACTTAACTTGGGGAAGATCTCTGATAAGTTTACATCACTTATCGTATAGACGAACCTTCCCAGGAACGCATACTCTGTATATAGGTGTATATATGTATATTTTGCCACATACACTGCAAGAATATCCTTCATGAGAACAAGCCATGACATGCCCGAGGAAGAGCCTGAAGAAACATTGGGAAGGCCTGACATCATCCCCCAGTGCTCTTTGTTTAACGATGATGACTTTAAAGAAAATCACCATATCAATAGGACAAGGAGAGCACCGAGACATCTTGGATGATTACTGACTGGCACCAGATAACAAATAAATTAACAAGTAAATAGCAAATGTAAATTCTTCTGATAAGATTGTGAACCTGGAGTACCCAGCCATTGGGGAAACAGGGGAGGGGGAGGCAAAGGGGAGAAAACAGGGTATAAAGGCTGTCATGTTGTGTCCATAGGCGCGCTCCTACTTGCAGGACGCCCGCCATTGCAATCGCGAATAAATTCTGCTTTTATCAGAGATACCGTCCTGACAAAAATTATTTGGATTATTTCCATCAATTTGGGGGCTCGTCCGGGATTATTATCGCCTCTTTGAGAGTTTCCCTACTGCCCTGCACAGGATAGGTGCACCCCGCTGATTTCAGCGGTCCTGTCCGGGTGGTGGGGTGACTCCTTGGTACGGCCGATAAAAAACCGAGACTGTTTTATAAAGGACGGACTCTGTAAAAGCCAAGGGGCAGGCAGGCACGGGTGTTGGCCATTGCGACCCGGTAACTTCGTGCACGGACCAAGGTAAGGGGATTTAACTCTTTCCTTGGGGGTCGGTTGAGACTCTTGAGTGTGTGTGACTGAGACGCGCTGTCAGTGCGAAGCGAGTGCTGAGTCCCGACCTGCGGTTCCGCTGTCCCGCGAGGGGCACGGCCAGGGACGGACGAAGCGGCTGTGTTGGTGGAAGGAAGAGTCTCGGGAGGGAACTGTTGGTGTGCGGTACCCTGTGCACTTGACGAAGTGCCAGCAGTACACCCCTATTAATCCGAGATAGGAGTATAGTACTGCTGAGGGATTGGGCCCAAAATCCGAGAATCAGAATGTGGTAACCTGTGAGCTGGGGAGTTCACAGTAGCATTCTGGAGGGATGGGTAATAGGAGTTCCCGAGAGAAGGGGAAAAAGGTCCCCGGAATGGTGCCTAGAGAGAGCCAGCCCCTTGGGAAAAGTTTCAAAATTGGAAAATAATCCCAAAACTAGGAAAAGAACAGGGAAAAAAAAAAAAATGTTTAAATACTGTATACAGTAGAGAGCCACTACAGGGAAAATCATTATTTTGACCAAAATAGGAGTCTGAAGAAAATTGGGCCTATCAGACTTTGTATTTATATGTAAACAGTAAGACTCCTTTTTCTGAAACAGAATTGGCTTAGGTCGCTTAATGAGTGCAAGAAGTAAAGAAATGTTCCTCGCGAGGAGTCCAAGTTCAAAGGAAATGGGAAAGAGAAGCAGAAAGATCATAAATGGGATCCCTTAGATAACTTCCCCCCCTTTTAATTTTTAAAGCAGTGCAATTTCTAAAGCGGCGGTGACCTCTCCAGAGGAGGGAAGTGGTTGCTGCTGATCTGTGCAGGGTCCTGGAGAGGATGCGCTCTCAGTTACTGAGGGAGTTGGAGTAATGCGAATGGGACCTGGAGAGTTTTCCTTTGTCTAATACTAACCTTACTAATACTTCACTTTGTCCTCTTAAGGCAGTCTTAGGTAAAAGGGAAATAGGGTATGGTAATGCCTGCTGTTTTGTTACTAGAAGAGAAGTTACTCATGGATGGAAATGTTTATCGTTGATATGTTGATTATTGGAGAAGGAGGTTGGCAGCTATGCAAGTGTGGGAAATGAATACAGAGGGAAGGTTGAGCTCTGGAGGGAGGCAGAGAGAGGAAGGATCCTGAGGATAAATTGTACTGATTATTGTCACTGTCTGTGTGATTGTTAAATGTTTATGTCCTGAAAGTGTTGTGTTATGTCGTGTACGAGGCTGTTATGGAACAAGGGGTGTCTAAAGTGATATGAGAAGACCCCTTGGGTTGTATTTTGGCTCACTGGAGAAACGTTGGTGAGCCAGGGGAAATATTGAATAAGAAACCAAGAACGTAAATGGAGTAATGGGACCAGTTTTATAATTGAGTATCCTAATCATGAGACCAAGTGCTGGGTGTTTGTGGAAGTTGAGGAATTGTGTTGTTTGATTTGTGGATTTTGAAGGCACTAGGAGAAACTGTCTTAATGGTATGTGGAAATTATGTGGAAATGCAGTTTTAATGGTATGTGGAAATGCAATTGTTAATGGTATGTGGAAATTATGTGGAAATGCAGTTTTAATGGTATGTGGAAATTATGTGGAAATGCAGTTTTAATGGTATGTGGAATTGCAATTGTTAATGGTATGTGGAAATTATGTGGAAATGCAGTTTTAATGGTATGTGGAATTGCAATTGTTAATGGTATGTGGAAATTATGTGGAAATGCAGTTTTAATGGTATGTGGAAATTATGTGGAAATGCAGTTTTAATGGTATGTGGAAATGCAATTGTTAATGGTATGTGGAAATTATGTGGAAATGCAGTTTTAATGGTATGTGGAAATTATGTGGAAATGCAGTTTTAATGGTATGTGGAATTGCAATTGTTAATGGTATGTGGAAATTATGTGGAAATGCAGTTTTGGTATGTGGAAATGCAGAAATGCAATTTTAACGGTATGTGGAAAATTATGTGGAAATGCAATTGTTAATGGTATATGGAAATTATGTGGAAATGCAGTTTTAATGGTATGTGGAAATTATGTGGAAATGCAGTTATTAATTGTATGTGGAATTGCAATTGTTAATGGTATGTGGAAATTATGTGGAAATGCAGTTTTAATGGTATGTGGAAATGCAATTGTTAACGGTATGTGGAAATTATGTGGAAATGCAGTTTTAATGGTATGTGGAAATTATGTGGAAATGCAGTTTTAATGGTATGTGGAAATGCAGTTGTTAACGGTATATGGAAATTATGTGGAAATGCAGTTCTTAATGGTATGCGGAAATGCAGTTTTTAATGGTATGTGAAGTTGCAGTTGAGTGTACAAATAGTGGAATTGTGGAAAAACAAACCAACAACAAAAAAAAAAAATGGCAAAAAGGTTTAAGGAAAATAGTGAGTTTGGGATATTAGAGTTGGGCCGGCACGAGAACACATCCCCGCACACCCCCCACTGCTGCTTGTAAGAACAACTTGGAGTGGGAGAAAGAGCTGGGGGCTGGAGCCTCCTGCTGTGATGTGAAGGGTGCAGTGCTTGTGAATGGGGATGGGACGGACATTGGAAGTGAGAACAGCCGTCATCTGCAGAGCTGGGGAAACCCGATATCCAGTGTGAGCACTGGAAGCCTGGGGAGAGAAGGGAGTGAAACTGAAATATAATGTTAGTAATGTTTGTAATGATGAGAGTTTGGAAAGTGAAAAGGGTTTGGGAAAAACAAACTGAGGAAGGCAAAGTTGAGCAAGGTTAACAGGGATGTCCTTACCTAGAAGAAGAGGTAAGAGGAGCCTGGAAGGACTCAGGGAGAGTTCCACCCTGCCAGGGCCGAAAGCAGCAGGGGAAGCAGGCTGAAGAGGTTTATTTTCTGGTACCTCTGGGTGCGTCTTACTATTACCCGTAGATGACTTTTGTAATAGTTGTAGCAGCTACTGGCAAGAGAAGTTTATTATTTATTTTTTTTTTTTGGACCAATTAAATACAGGCTAGGAGAACAAGTAGGAATACATAAATTCTTGTACATGCCAGGTTCTCCAAAACGATTATTTGGGCATGACATGTTAGAATAGTTGAATGTGGATTAAATTCGGTAGAGACGATTGGAACTACTTGTCAAGCAAGACCAATGGACTGAAAATTTTAAGTCTGGCTTTAACACAAACTGGGAAAAGCAATGTTGTACTCCCAGAAGTTACGTAAATCCTACATCGGGTATACACAGGATTGCAGGCATCAGGGATGCCTGGTAGAGCCAAAAATGCAGCCCAATGAAAGTTAAGTTAAAGGTGGGAGTCAGCCCAACCAGGGTAAAGCAATGCCCTTTGAGGATACAAGATTGTAGGAGGATAAAAGAAATAAAAATAATTTTTTTTAAATTTTGGATTACTAATTGGATAGAAATCCAAATACAACACCCAATCTTGCAAATGAAAAATTGGATGGCAAGAGCTATAGTTTGGTACAAGATTTGAGGGCAATTGATAAAAAAGTTGAATATATACAACACATGGTGTATATCTTTATTAACCAAGTAAGGAATAAGCAGGTGAGGTTTACCGTTCTGGACTTGAAGTACACCTTTTCCTGCCTGGTTTTGCAAAAGAAAGTCTAAAATTATTGCCTTTGAATAGGAAAACTCAAATATGGAAAGAAGAAAAAAAAAAAAATAATAATTAAAAGTAATAATAATAATAATTCAGTTAACCTGCACAGTGATACCCAGGGTTGTGAGAACAGCCCAGTGATTTTTGAGAACTGGTCAACTCGTGAGCCTGAGATTTGGGTTCACCATCTCACAGTGGAACTGTACTGCAGTACGTGGATGCTACAGTAACAAAGGACTGTGTGCAATGGACTGTGAGCTTGCTGAATTTCTTGATTTAAATGGCTATCAAGTTTCTCAACAGAAAGAACAACCGATCAAAGAGAAGGAAGCAACTTGCTGAATACCCAGAACGCCAACACAGAGCTGCCTCCAAGCCAGCAGTGTGTGACTGCATGGAGACTACGTGTGCAAGTTGGTCAGAGCTACAGGAGGAACCGTTGGACGATGCTGAGGAGTCCTGGATTCATCGACGGAAGCAGTTTTGTGAAGACAAGGAAACCGTAAGGCAGGACATGCAGTAACTGCTATTGACAAGGTAATTGAAGCAAAACCATTACCTGAGGGGACTTCCACTCAGAAGGCTGAAATAATTGCCTTGACAAGAACCTTAAATATATGGACAGATGCTAAATATGTTTTTGGGGTGGTACCCACTCTTGGTACCATCTGGAAAGAGCAAGGATTGCTTACACACAAGGAAAACAAATTCAGCATGATGTAAATCTACCAAAGAACATCACGGCTGTTATACATTGTAAAGGACATCAGAAGAGTGACACTGTACAGGAAACTGGAAACATGATGATGGATCAGGTGGCAAAACAGGCAGCTGAAGGAAAAGAAATTGGTGAACGGCTTTAATTCCAGACGGTAAACTTGAAATACCTGAACCTTAGTCAGAACCTATAAGGTACTCTAGAAAGGATAGGAATCTAATTAATGAAGGGAAGAGAGCCAGCTGACAGATGGGTGCATACCCAGATGGACACATTGTTGTGCCCATTAGTATTTTATAGAATTTGGTTCTAAGAGAACATAATAAAACATGGGGGGTACAGACCCCAGAAAGTAACTGTACAATCTTAGTACCAGGAACAGGGTGCAAGTAGGGCTTGTTGGAAAGGGAACCTTCCAGGACAACAATTGCAAATTGATTTTTTTTAACTGCCAGGGAAAATGAGGGTTTTGATATATGCTAGTTCTAACCAATACCCTTTCAGGGTGACCAGAAGCATTCCCTTGCAGGACCAATAGAGCAAAGGAAGTAACCAAGGTACTTTTGCAGGAGATTATTCCAAGGTTTGGGTGTCCTGCAACAATACCCTTCAACCACGGAATTCATTTTATTGCAGAGATTGTCCAACAGGTCAGCAAGCATTGGGAATAAATTGGCAATTGCACACAGCACACAGACCACAGGCGAGTGGTCAGGGGAAAAGACGAAGTGTCTGATTAAATCACAGGTTGTAAAACTGGGACAGGAAGCTGGACTATCCTGATCACAGTTGTTGCCTTTGGCTCTCCTTAGTACCAGAACAAAACCTAGAGCCAAAGAGGGGTTAAGTCCTTTCAAAATACTGTACAGAAGGCCTTATGTTGTACAAAAGGGGATTTCTACCCAAGTAGGGAGCGAAATACTAACTGAGCATGTGATAAGTCTGCAGGAATGGCTTTGAGAAAAGGAGAAACTGGTTCTAGGAACTAGAGCCCAAGGCCTTGATATGGCTCGATAATATGTATGTAACAAATCTCTTTTAAGATTCGCCCCTGGAACCAAGGTGGGTAGGTCTGTTCCAGGCGCTACTAACATCACACACAATAGTGAAAGCATTGTGGATACATCATACTAGAGTTAAGAAGGTCCATCGAACACAATGAGAAATGCAATCAGCTGGACCCTTAAAATTGTGAATCTAAGGACAGAAATGTGGGCTCTTGTAACTGTTAGAAATGTTGATTTGATGAGTGCAGCATTTGATGTAAATACTTATGTATCTCTTGTGACAAACATTATTACATATCAATATTGTTTGGTATGCGGACAAGCTAAGGATTTAAACTTTTCTCTTCTTGTTGTTCCTGATGATTTTAAGGCAAGAAATCAAACTGTTGCAGGGTTTGAGTCACTGTCCTGGTGGGTGATGATCAACAAGAATGTAGATTGGGTTAACTACATCTGTTATAATCAATAGAGATTTACAAATATACAAAGAGTGCAATAAAGAGAATTGCAGAAATCAACAGTGTATAAAAAAAAGAAAAAGGGGGGAATTGTGAGAATCAAGTGTTGTTTCTGCATTAGAATTGTATAATATTATTTTTATTTTATGATCTCCACTCTCATAGTTCTTTTTGGGAGTCCCTCTACTTAACTTGGGGAAGATCTCTGATAAGTTTACATCACTTATCGTATAGACGAACCTTCCCAGGAACGCATACTCTGTATATAGGTGTATATATGTATATTTTGCCACATACACTGCAAGAATATCCTTCATGAGAACAAGCCATGACATGCCCGAGGAAGAGCCTGAAGAAACATTGGGAAGGCCTGACATCATCCCCCAGTGCTCTTTGTTTAACGATGATGACTTTAAAGAAAATCACCATATCAATAGGACAAGGAGAGCACCGAGACATCTTGGATGATTACTGACTGGCACCAGATAACAAATAAATTAACAAGTAAATAGCAAATGTAAATTCTTCTGATAAGATTGTGAACCTGGAGTACCCAGCCATTGGGGAAACAGGGGAGGGGGAGGCAAAGGGGAGAAAACAGGGTATAAAGGCTGTCATGTTGTGTCCATAGGCGCGCTCCTACTTGCAGGACGCCCGCCATTGCAATCGCGAATAAATTCTGCTTTTATCAGAGATACCGTCCTGACAAAAATTATTTGGATTATTTCCATCAAGAGGATTATGACAGAATTATGAAAATCAGTAAATGGATTTTTGTGATTATCCAAACGAGTTTCATGGAATCATAGATTAGAATAATAGCATGTCTTGGGTCAAAAAGGACCTCAAAGATCATCAGGTTTCAAGCCTCTTATCTCCCTCTATGGTATGTAGGGAGCTGGATTGGGTAGGTGTAAGATATTATTCTGTAAAACATCATTGCCTCAAAATTTGCTGGGGACACAGATGAACAAGTCCAGGCAAGTCCTGGGCAAGGGTTGTGAAATCCTTTATCTGGGGGACACAGATGGAAAAGACCAGGGGCAACGAGAGAGAGAGAGAGAGAGAGAGAGACAGACAGACAGACAGACAGACAGACAGACAGAGAGAGAGAGACAGAGAGAGAGAGACAGAGAGAGAGAGACAGAGAGAGAGACGAGCTGCAGCTTAATAGCTGTGAAGTGCTCCTTTGTGTGGTCTTATCTCAGCATGATGGCCATCTCAGGGTGTACTCACATGACTCTTGCTCAAGTGCCCAGGGATTTCAGGTAGGCAGGAGAAAAAATAGGATAAAAGAGGAATCTAAAACCATGAGGACAAGTGTCTGACATCAGATTCCTCACACTTCGGAATTCCTGCATGCTGACAAACTCTCCCGGGCCTGCTACCTGAGCGCTGCTGCTTCCTCCTGGATTGGCTCTGCGACTGCCTCTGCTACCTGCTTGCTGCCCAAGGCCCGCCATGCTGCTGCTCCCCCTCCCTGCTGCGTCTGCCTCGGACCTTCAAATGCCATGCAACAGGACTGATGCTGGATCCTGGTGGTGACTATCCCCGCTTTATGCAATTCTTGCATCTTTCTTATCTTTTGTATCGCCCTCTTTCCCTTCCCCATCTCCCTGATTAGGATTTATAATAAACTGGTTGGACTAACATATGAACCATTGTTTCTTAATCTCATGCCGGATATACAGATATTAAAAGAACCTCATCTTCCACCCATAAATTGGAGAGAGACAGTAGGACCAGCTTCTGCCAAATGCTACTCCCAGTGCTTAAATGTTCCGCTACCCAGTGCTTTGAGCATAGTTTTTAACAACTCATTGTAGCATTCAGTTTTACCAGAGGCTTGTGCATGATAGGGGATATGATAAATCCACTCAATGCCATGATCTTTGGCCCAAGTATTTACAAGAGAATTTTTGAAATGAGTCCCATTATCTGACTCAATCCTTTCTGGGGTGCCATGTCACCACAGGACTTGTTTCTCGAGACCCAGTATGGTGTTTCAGGCAGTAGCATGGGGTACTGCATATATTTCAAGCCACCCAACGGTTGCCTCCACCATGGTAAGCACATAATGCTTACCACTGTGAGATCGTGGCAAGGTGATATAATCAACCTGCCATGCCTCCCCATATTTATACTTTTGCAATCACCCCTCCCCCTAGAGAGATTTCATCCTCTTGGCTTGTTTAATTATGGCACATGTTTCACAGTCATGAGTAACCTGTGCAATGGCATCTATAGTTAAGTCCACCCCTCAGCCTCTAGCCCACTTACATGTCACATCTCTTTCTTGATGAACCAAGGTCTCGTAGGCCCACCAAGCTAGAAATAATTCACCCTTGTTCTGCCAGTCCAGGTCTATTTGAGCCACCTCAATTACGGCAGATCAATCTACCTGATGGTTATTTTGTTGTTCTTCAGTAGCCCAACTCTTGGGCACATGAGCATCTACATGGCACACCTTTACAACAGTATCTTTTATTTGGGCAGCAATGTCTTTTCACAGTTCAGCAGCCCAAATAGGTTTACTCCTTCTTTGCCAGTTATTTTGCTCCCACTGCTGTAACCATCCCCATAAGGCATTTGCCACCATCCATGAGTCAGTGTAGAGATAGAGCATTGGCCACCTCTCCTGTTCAGCGACATCTAAGGCCAGTTGGACAGCCTTTACCTGTGCAAACTGGCTTAATTTGCCTTTCCCTTCAGTGGCCTCTGCAACTTGTTGTATGGGGCTCTATACAGCAGATTTCCGTCTGTGATGTTTTCCCATGATACAACACAATCCATCTGCAAACAGGGCAAATTTCTTTTTATTTTCTGGTAGTTCATTGTATGTTGGGGCCTCTTTAGCATGCCATACCTCTTTTCCTGGTGATGTTCCAAACTTTTTGCCTTCAGGCCAGTCCATGATCACCTCTAAGATTCCTGGACAACTGAGGTTCCCCATCTGTGCTTGTTGTGCCGTCAGCTCAATCCACCTACTCCAAGTGGCATCAGGCTGGAGGGTACCTTTCCTTTAAACATCAGTTTTCATCAAGGAAGAATTTCTTCATGGAGAGAGTGATTACATGTTGTAGTAGGCTAACCAGAGAAGCGCTAGGGTCTTCATACCTGTATGTGGGCAAGATGCTAAGTGTCATGTTTTAGTGCTGAGACTCGGTAAGTCAGGTGATGGTTGGTTTTGATAATCTTGAAGGTCTTTTTCAGCATGTGACTCCATGATTACACCTGAGTTTAATATGAAGAGCTACAATATAGTTATGCAGTTTTTATTTATTTTCTGGGCAAGTATTTGCAGCATTTCATGCAATTTTGTCCTTAATGTGCATTGAAATGCTAGAAACAGCTAAAAGTTGAAAAAAACTGACTTATGGTATAAAACTATAGCATTGTCTAACAAGTACGGGAAAGTATTTTTCATAATAGACTCTCAACAAGAGCACATATAAACATGGGGTCCAAGAAAAATAGAGCTTATCTTCTTAGTACTTCACTACCAATCAATCAGCTTTAACTAAGTCTCAGATGATCTAAAAATCTCAAAATTTCAGTTATAATTCTGCCTTAGCTTGTATGACTGAAAAAAGTATATATGCTATGTTAGCTTTCTCTCTACATGCATAACACAGATAAACTGATCCAGTTGGGAGTTACTTGGTCTTCAATATTCAGTTGATTAAATGAAATTCTAATCTGAGTAAAACAAAGGAAGAGATAGCAATGATAAACATGCATACAACATGAATAAAAGAGCATTGAACACCACAAGGGAGAATCAAATGCATTTTCAATCTTTGTCTAAATATTATATATATTTACTAACTATACTAAGACAGAAAATAAGGGATACAACTGCATTAAACTGTTGTACCTATAGTATCAGGACTATGAAATCAATTTCTCTGTTTTATGTTTATATTTTTGCTCAGAAATTTCTTTACACCTTCTCTGTAGTATAATTCTATGGTTTGCATGTGTGGAGAAGTCTGTGAAAATATTTTCAGACACAAGACCTGGAACAATAGACTACAGAAGTATATACAAGAAGGAATGCACTAGTTAATATAGTACAGAAGAGATAGTAACATATCAACCTTATTTTTTCTCTGGGACATAATTAATTGCTATAAATCCAGTGGCTCACAAGTTTTTACAATGATAGATGTCTTTAAAATAATTTCATATTTCTTTTAGTAAGTATAGCTTGAAGCATCCTGCATTTCCATAGTAATAAAGAAATCTGTAGTTCACAGTGAGATCACAAGATAATACCATATATCAATAGCCTGATTGCCTTGACATTTTGAGTTATTTCATGTAGTGTATTTTAAACCAAAGGGCTACTCTTTCAAATGCATCATTGCTTCATATTTTAATCCGTTGGTTAGGTTTTCTGTTTGCAATGAGGAAAAAATTACATGGTTATAACTATTAATTAGACTTAATCCTCTTTCTGCCTCACCACCATAAGTTTTAATTATCTGAATATTCATATCTCTACCACTTGGCCTCATGTTCCACCAACTAACTGTGTGTCCATCATAACATCATGTTATGATGCACTGGAGTCTCAGAAGATAAGAGATGTGTTACAGCTCCTAGAAAACTTAGCTGTTCCATTTTCTGGTCGGTGGGAAAGACAAAACTGACTGGAAGTCACAAGACTATCTCTTTTTGCTCCCATTCCACTACATTTTTAAACTGATTGAAACTGACTGACAGCATTAGCAGGTGTCTCCTATTTTTCTCTTTTAAGATATGACATTTGTATTTGAGAGAATGTGTGTTTACCTGTGCTAACAGCAGATAGACATT